CTTTATTTATATGTAAAATAAGGAGAAATCCGCGATTGTGAAATTGGCGCGCAGAATCATGTGACAAAATCCGGTAATTATTGTAGGCCAGTGTATATATATACATGTGTGTGTATATATAATAAAGTGATTATTATTATTACCATCATTATCATTATTCATCTGAATCTTGAAGACGGTCCTAATAATAAGACAAAAACAAAGAAACATATGATTCCAAATAAACTGTTAAGCCTACTAATAAATCCTAATTTTTTAAATAAAAAACGAAGATGATGGTGAAAATTATGATGATGATAATGATTTTTGACGAATTTATTAATTTAGAAGATATTGGTAACAATCAAGAATTCTATGAAGATGTTTATTATACAATTAGTATTTAAATATTCAAACCAAAATTGTTATCTTATTACATATTAGTAGTATATATACCACAATCGATTTCTTGTGTACTTTTTTAGTAGGGTATATACCATTCAATCTTTTATAATATGCTATATACCATCCCTATTTGGAGCCTTATATGGAATATAATAAAATTCAACAGTCATGTGATTATTTTGTATCAGTAATGAATGAATGATTGAATTTTCCAGTTAAAAAATTTTGCATGACTAACTGGTTAACTCTTAATATTAATTTTAATGGTTAATTAACCAGTCAGGTGCCAACCTCTAGTTTTATTTAGTTGAAACTAATTTGTTATTAACTTATTTCGAAGTTAAACTCATTACAAAGTTAAAACTTTATCACAAAATTATTTACACAATTAAATTAATTAGTAGCACTTTCATTACGATCTATCTAGCATCCCAATTACTTAATTACTATTCAGCAATTTAATTACTAGTCTGCATTTTTTGTGCTGGCAATTTAATTCCAATTAACATAGCAAATGCAATATTATAATGAATAATTAAATTATTTAAGACAGAATTAGAGTATTTCAGCTGACAAATCGCCATTAAATTCTAATTCTAATAGTAAAGTCAAGCATCATCTGGTTCAGACCTGAACAAATAGTTTTCAAAAAAAATCATAAAAAATTTTCTCTTTATAAGATTTTGTAGTTATTTTATGTTAGATACCAGATGTGTGAATTTACATTTTACATGTTTGATTGAAAAAATGGAAAGCTTTATGAATTAAACCATTTCCCATCAATCACGGATAGTCCATATACTGATTTATTACAGTTGATTAATATTCATTATATAATAAATAAGCCTCTCATGAATTAATTGAATTAATAGGATGCTACTAAAGTAAGGTTGCTTGCCGAAACTCCTCCAGAAATCAATCAGCAGGATTTCGGCAGGCTACACATTAATTGTTTATTAGAGTTTCGGCAGGGTTTCGCATTTTGAGGTTTCGTCATTTCGGCATAGTTTCAACAGGATTTTTGATAAGAATTAATATAGTTTTGCCGTGGTTTCAGCAATTATTAAGGAGGTTTCGCCCACAAGCTTATACTAAAGTGATCAAAAAAGAATTTATGGAGTGAGAACTTGGAATTTACAATTTATAGTTATAATCAAAAAAATTTTAAAACCCCTGTTGTGATAATAATATTAAATAATATGTCATTATTAAAATAAAAAAATTTTATTTAAAAAAAAAATAATATTTTTTTTTGTAAATTTTTTTTTGTAAATTTTGGAACTTTTGTTCAATTTAAAAATATAAATAAATATTAACTTTATTAATAATTTTTTTTCCAAGGTTTAATTAATAATAAATCCGCATTGGTCCAGTGGTTAGGATTTCGCGCTTTCACCGCGACGGCCGGGGTTCGATTCCCCGATGCGGAAAACATTTTCGATATTTGTTTTTTTATTTTTAAAATAATAATTATGCACACGTTAGATGATTTTTTTTATTAAGGGTAGACAACGATCTAAATAAAAATTGATAATAAAAGGTAATGAATGATAAATTTGATTGTTACAAGAATTATTATTATTTGGTTACAATATTAATTAATACAATAATTTTCTAAAAAACAGACCATTTGTTATTATTAGCAACGGAACCATTTCCTGCTACCTTTTCCCTTATTTAAAATAAGATATGCATAATAATGATGATATGTTTATAAAGTATTTCATTTGTGTTTAAAAAGAAAATTCGATATATTTTTCACTGACATGTAAGATATGTAGAATATATAGAAAGAAAAATACTATTGATTTCCACTACAACCCCTCAACTGGGGCTAGTTTAATAGGAAAGGAGTAATTAGTTTGTCGAAAAAATATCATATTTTAACCCACTCATAATTGGTAAAATAACAACTACCTTTAATAATTACGATTAATTATTTAATTTTATATATTAATATGCATGGCGATCGCATTATCCCGTTTATTGTTAAATAAATCACATGACTACTCTTAATTAGTATTATTGATTCCATAAATATATCATTATTTTTATTGGTACAAACAATTACACTGTAAGATCCCCTAACTTGTTACATTTTTTGGTTATTTTGACGTATTATCAAATTAGTAAATTAATAATAATCACTTATTTGGGAATAGTAGGAGAGTTTTCAAATAATAATAAATAAAATAAGACATAAATATAAATTTTGTGACTTTCTAAAAAACAATATTTAACATGTTGCGAAAAAAACTTTCCTCTTTGTTCTTCGAAAAATTTTTTTAACGAATTTATATATTATATATTTATTCATTTATCACAAAGTGCTACTACTTATTATCCCTTGGCATAAAAATTAGAATTTTAACACAAACTATTCTTTCTTTTGCCATACACCAATAATATATATTATATATATTATATACATATTTTTCTGTCTGGGTACAGAAAAAAAAGTTTTTAGATTACATACATACCATATAAATACTCTGTCATCTTTTTTACATTTAAAAAACAACATAAATATATAAATATAATAAATTCTTAATTTTTTACACAACATTTTCACATTCATTTCAAATTCTTCCTCGTATATATATAATCTACTTTGCTGGACGAAGCGCACTTTTAAAAAGCATTTGTCTTTTTGTAATCTTTTAGTCGTGTATATAAAGAACTTTATATTTATCATTATAAATAAAAAATGGGTAAAACGGTTTGGAGTCAGTGGGGAAGATTAGTGGCACTTACTGCTGGAGTTTGTAAGTTTATCTATTATCACCATTAATCTTTAAATTACAATTATTTTGAAAATAAAAGAAATTAATCAAATATATTATATTTTGTTTATTAGTTGAAACAATAGGAGGAATATTTGGTATTTTTTATCGATTGTCGATGTTTGGTAAATTGACTCCGTAAGTTTTTTTTCTTCAAATTTTAATTGTTCTTTTAATTTTAATTTGTTTAATTTTAAAAAAATTTTCAAATAATAATTACAGGATATTTGACTCAATTATTCTTGAAATAAACATTGTGGCTATTATTTGCATGTATGTATAAAAAATGTTAATTATTGCTAATTAATTATGCTCGTGCACACTAATTAACATCTTTCTATTTGATACTTGTGTAGTGTATTTGGAATAATCGTTATATCGATAGAATATCCGATTCCACCACTACGAAATACAATTCTCACAAATACATTTTTCATAAAAATATTTTTATATTTAATTTTTGGAGCTTTCTCAATTATAAATTATCAAAATGTTAATCCCGGATTATATTTAATTATCTCAAGCCTAATGTATACAAAAGCTTCCATCAATCACGAAACGACCAAACCAAAAATTACTTCTAGAGTCTAAACTTTTATAATCTTAATAATCAAATAAATTAATTAATAATTTAATAGTTTGCATTAGCGGGTTGATGATGTGCATTTAATTGGTTAATTAATAAATAGATGGTAAAAAAATACAATCAATTTGATTTTATAAATAAATACAAAAATATTTTCAAACAAAAAATTTTTCTTTATTTTTTTTTTATATAAATAATTGATTGATTTTTTTTTTTTGAGTTTCAAATAAAAGATATTGTTTCATAGCAATATATCATATATATATATATTTTATTTATTTATTTATTTATAATATTTATAAATAAGCCTAAGAATATTATTGTTTTCTTTTAAAAATACAAATTAAAAAAAAATTTGCCATAGAGAAAAAATAAAAATTCTTTTGCCAGAAAAAAAAATTTATTGTGTATGAAAATAATGAAATCAATATGCGAGTGTATGTTATATAAATGTTTGTAAATATATACTATATATAAACACTTAAATGCTAAATAAAATAAAGAGTTTGTGTATGTGCGTGTGTATATATATAAATATGTGATTTAAATTAAAATATGTATGTTGTTTCTATATAAAAAAGATATGTATATATAAAGAAATAAAATGCATAATAGAAATAAATTATTTACTATTTTTAAAACATCCTTCACAAACTTTTGACCATACACCTCCCCAATCTTCACTACCATCAGGAAATAATAACATAGAGTATCTAGTATGTGCATTACAAAAAATATTTCCACATCTAAAAAAAAAAAAGAGATTAAATAATTAATAATTAATTAAAATAATTATTATTATACGAATATATCAATCGATTTAATATAATTAAAATTACCTTCTACAATGATGTCTTCTATTCCATAAATTGAAGTTCACACTACAACCTGCTTGTTGACACATTGATACTTCATCATCTTCAACCCATCTTTTTGCTAACCCTATATAAGTTATTAATTACTTTTTTAATTATTATTATTAATAATATTTATTTATCCAATTAATTTACTTTATTTCACATACCAAAACGAGATTGATGTCTGACACGTTCCTCATCAGTGAATAATGATATTGGGTTTGTATATGATTGTCTACGAGACTAAAATAATGTCATAAGTTAAGATATGTATATGTTAGAATACATATACAAATTATATACGCTAAACACATATACATACACTACATATAGAAATATATACACATATATATATATACCTGAGGTGGTGATAGACAACGAGCAGGTACTAATTCAGAAGGATTGAATTCATCAGAACTATGATGATGATGATTGCTATTGTTGCTTTCTCTTGATCTAGATTTTTGTAAGTTTATTGAATCAACTGATTTGTTGTTTGTCTGATGATGATGGTGGTGGTGATAGTAATGGTAATGATCTCTCTTGTTAACACCATCATGATTTACAAGTGTGAAATTTGAACCTATAGATGATTTATTACGATTATGATTATGGCTATGGATATGATGTAACTTATACTGATTGTTATAAGTTTTATTGTTGTTGTTGTTGTTGTTGTTGTTGTTGTTGTTATTATTATTATTATTATTATTATTATTACTACAGCTATTATTATTACATTGACTTGATGACAACAAAGAATTTTTACGTTGTTGTTTTTCGTTTCGTAAACGAACCATTTTACCCTCCAATTCTTTTAATAAACCTTCCATTGAATTAATCATGCCAGATTGGCCTTCAGTCACCGCTTCACATTCCCTCAGTCTTTCCAAATATTCTTTTTCTTTTTCTTCCAGTAATAATTCTATTTTTTCTTTGAAATTTATCAATGTCATAAAATCTTTTTTGCTTTTTTCAATTTCTGATTGGAATAATTCCAATTCTTTTGCTTGTTTAACACAATTGTTCATTATCATTTTACATTCCAGTGGCAACTCATCACTACTATTGCTACTACTACTACTATTATTATTATTAAAAGTATCACTGTCATCATAAAATATTATTGATGATGATGATATATCGTCTTCACAGTTTACTATTGTTGACAATTCCAAAGAAGGTTTTTCGATTCTAGAATTTAGCAGAGCGTTATAAGTCTCTAAATCTTTTGTACTTGACTCCAAAGTTTTAGTAACTTCTTTTTTAGTTTCTTGATATTCTTGTTCAAGTTGTTTCTTCCCTTCCAACATTTTCTTATGATTTGCTTGTAATGATACCAAACTACTTTTCACAGCAATGATTTCTTTTTTTAATGTATAGAATTGCCTTTTAAAAGATGAAGATCTCTTGATTTTTGAATCTATTATTTCTTCATCGTCTTCTTCGGAAGATAAAGATGATGACGATGACGACGACGAGAATGTATAATGTGATTCTACTTCATCATCATTATCATCATCTTCATCATCATCATAAATCATATCTGTTACTTTCTCTATATGTTCATTAAAATATTTATCATCATTATTATTATTATTAACATTGTAATAAAAATTTTGATATTCTTGTTTTGAAGGGGGGGTCATTGATACTCTTGGGATATAATTTGATGATGATGTTATATCAAACATTAATCTTGGTGGCCTTGGTATGTTTAATTCTTTGCTATCACCACCGCCACCACTATTGTTATATTTTGATTGAGTTGTTATATATGATTTATTCTGATTATTATTATTAAGTGATGATGGTATTCTTACTGCTTTTACGTTAATATTTGCTGCAAATATATTATTTGAACTATTTGATCTCCTTCTTTGTTTCTAAAATAATAATTTTTGAGAAAAATTTTTTAAATGATTAGAATATTATTGAGCATCTATTTATATATAGGTTTTTATATGTACGATATAGCATGATGCATATAATTGTTTATAAAAGGAAGAAAAGGGTGATTATTGTGATTCTCATTGAATAAGTAAATAAGTAAATTTTTAATTATCTTAAAATATCGAAAAAATGCAAATTTTTTTAAAAAAATAAAAATTGCTTGTAAAAACTAACAATAATAATTAATAATATATTATTCTATTATGATGATTACTATTAGATGATTATTACTTACTGGAGGTTTCCGATTGGTATATTTATCTTTAGATTTATTTGAAAATGGCTCCACTGCCAAATTCATTACTAAATAATCTTTTGAAATTCAAGATTTAAAATTTATTACTAATAAAAAAAAATATCAAATTTATTTTGGGACAAAAAAAATTTTTTTAAAAAAAAAAGCTTACTTGTATATAATATATATATATATATATTATCTTTTTTGTAAATATTAAAAAAGCATGTTTTGAATAAAAGATGAATTTTTAGGTGATCATTCCGTGCGTAACGTAACAATAATAATAATAATATTTAGTATTTTTTTGGGGGATGATCATGAATGAAAGCTCCTTTTTTTTATTAACACCAATCACTTTAAAATTTTTTTGTTTTTCGATAATTAATTAATCGTTCTTTTTTAATGATCATTGATTTTTAATTAAATTGTTGTTGGTATTACAACAATAATTTCCTCAATGAGTTTCTGCTCATTATAGTATGTGATTGATAAATAGTTTTCTGTGGTAAATTCTATAAATATTTGGAATCTACTTTATTAGCCACTTTCTCAAAATTCGATGAACAAAGCCACACTAACTTTAACGGGAATGAAGGTAGGTTTGACCGAAAATGTGAAACTACCTACCCTACATACATATAAAGTTGGAGTTTATTTTTAGAAAACGTTTACATGAATATATATTAATATTAATATATATATATATACAGTTCACAAAAATTCGCTTATTTAGTATGTTCCTTTTTTTGTTTTGGTCAACAAAATGAAAAAAAAAACAGATTTTTAAAAAAGTCCTTCCTTCCTGGCACATAAATAATCAAACATTGAAGAACAACCAATTCACATGTCAAGAATTGATAACGCTCACACTAGAACTTTTCCCCAACTTTTTTTAATGTTTATCATACATTTCTTTTGAGAAAACATGCGGTGTGGCAAAATGTAAATAATTATGTGTGGCTGTAAATTCTTATTTGTCATGTATAACCAGTTGTGGAAAATTCTTTTAATTAAAAATGTGTGCTTATAAATTGGAAGATCATTACGTTATACTGAGATTCCGTTTTACAAATGAATTTATATTCATTGCAATTACTTTAACAAATTGTTGCAGTGAGATACGCACGTTTTGATATGGGTGTTCTAGAAGTTGATGTTGTATAATCATAGTATTCACTGGTGAAATTTATTACATGTGATACTGGGGTGTGCGACATTCTAAGAAAATCAAAACTAATTAATGTCATATATTGAAAGAACATAGTAAACATATTATTTTCAAAACACTACTCCTCCTCCGTTTTCAAAGATATAGGCATTAAATTTCCAT